AATTGGCGGTGTACCAATTTAAAGGGAAAGGCAATATTTTTTAAGGTCGCAAAATTTCTTGTTCGCTATTAGTTTATTCTGGCTGCCCCTTCTACAAAATTATCGATAATAATATAAATTAATATATTCAAAACGAGATAATTGTGGGGTACCTCATTCGATTTTGGATTGAAAATAAAAATATTTACTGACCAAGAGAACCACCTGTCGCCCTTCTACAATATTCAAGTAGTCCGTCAAAAGCCGGGCAATCATCTCCAACATTGACTATTGAAATATGGGAAAAACTATTAATATACCCGTATTCAAAAAAAAAAAAAAAAAAAGAGCATACATTTGATACAATCTTTTATACAAGTATCAACATTGTCTGCCGTAACCCTGCTTAAAAAATTAATGTAATCATCGGTATGAAATTGAGTGAGCTCCTCAACTGTTCCGGGTTTTGGTCTCTGTCAATAGCATCGTTTTAATCAAGGATTATACGAAAAAATGGAATTGAGAAAAATCTTGACAATTATGAACCATCACTGAACGAGAATAAGATCAAAGTCGAAGCCAAAATCAATATCAGATAAATTTGGATACAAATATTTCCATCTTCTTATACAATCCATATTTCATCACCAGATTATGAGTCATCCTTACTCTCAGGGGCTTCATAGGATGGCCACTTCCATGATTAAAACTACCTATGACATCTAGAAAGAGAAAAAACAAAACGACCCGACAAGAATTTTGATTAATATGATTCTTTTCCTTCACAACCCGTCTAACCAGGGTTTTGCAACCTTTCTAGACTCAACCCGCTACCCCAAATACATAAAATATCACACCACACTTGCTCAGTTCACTCGAACGATAAATATCCCTAAGGACAATCTACTTACGATCATAAAAATAGTTTATTCGTTTTTTTGATTCTGTAGACATTCTTTTGACACCAAAAAACAAGTTTTATTTCTCTGTTGAGTCTGATATCTTAGTTGTTGAGTATATTTCGTGTTAAACACCTCAATAACAGAATAAGTACACACTACCCTTTGTCCTTCTTTTTTTTTATGATTTATTCACGACTTAATATTGAGGTCACTTAATATTTTCAAGAGAGGAGAGTTTTTAATGTTTATCGTATTATATAAATGTTGCACTGTATTATATTTTTTAGGCATCAACTCAAGATTTATTGTAATGATTTATATAATAGACAATAGCACATATCTGTAAATGTGCAACCTAAATACGGTACAATGATTTCAATGATTTATTTATAAATTGATCACTATAATTTACAAAGAATCATATCGTGACTTTCTATTCTTTACTAAACCAGATGATATTTAATTCCGAAATACATCGACGGGAAGAATTCCGAATGGCATAATAATACTTAATAACGAGCCAACGGAGTGTCAATCAAATAGTTTTGTTAAGATACCATTACGTAAGGTTTGTTGATAGGTACTTCAAGAAAATTAACGTGATGGGCCCGGATATGGTTGGTATAACCTACGTAGCTTGAATACGAAAATCTCAAGCCATTTGGAATTTTCCCGTTTTCACACCACATGATGAAAATTTCATAAATTCACAAAAGGCTAATCGCCGTCACATCCCTGACTATTATAAAAACATCACACTCAACATAAATATTGATCGCTATGTACAAATGAAATAACTAATATCTTAACCTTGTTGACAAAAGAATTTAGGATATCGAATAATCCTACCTGAAACATTATTATTACCAAAGCAGCCGAAAGTCCTCAAGCTCAGGGGTAAGCACTGTACGACGACGCAAGATGTAATGGTGTACATCTTTAAAAAGATTGACAAGATCTACAACTATTGACCGAATGTGGAAGTGAAGCGGTATTTATTTGAGAAATGAGTATACAAAATTAGGCAAGTAAGAAACTCTTATTTTAAATTTTGACCCTGATACAGTGCATGCCTAGCTCGGAATCAATTCACCACAATTAATGTGTTAGAAAATGGATCAAAGCAAAATCCAAATACCCCAAGTATATTATCTTTCAGCTACCATTATCACAAGGAGGTTTGGGTGTCCCAACTTTGCCTGATACGATAGATATACGTCTACTGTCTATTTGGATAAAATTTTTAACGGAAAAAAATCTATGGGCTAAGGTCGAAAGACGCAAAAATACCGTTCCTAATGGATCGTCGGTACTATTCCTGAAAGGGTGGGAAAAAAAAACGATTTACTTACCGTTCCTGATATGGTTCTAAAAAAAGGCCTCCAAAATACTATACTATATAATGAAAAAAAGTTAGGATTAGGGTTCGTTTTTAGAACCC